AAAAAAAACCAAGTACCTATTTTCCAAACATCCACCATCATTCTCTATGCTGTTATAATTGCGCTTTGCTTGTTCCTTTTTGTAGTCTGGCAACCTCATCCAGAAAGTGGCAAAAATAAAAAGACCAATCCCAGCCTTCTCCATATTATTACTTCAAAATATTGCTGCAAAATGAAGAGGGGGGGGGGCTGGGCTGGGGAGATGGCTCAGTAGAATAAGTGCTTCCCTGGCAAGCGCAAGAGCCTGAGTTCAATTCCCAGTTCCACCAAAAACAAAACAAAACAAAACAAAAAAAACAAAAAACAAAAAACGAAGAGGGGGAATGTGGACAGGGACACTCTATGTTTGACCTAGTGGGACTTTGGGCCTGACTGTAGGATTGTTAGTCCTGGAGGAAGTCTAGCAAAAGCATTAGTATAAGAGGAAGTGAAAGCAAGCCCTCAGTCCTGTGGGGAGCTGCCGGGACATGTCCGAAGGAATGACAACCTGATGGCTGGACAAGCCGAAGTTCAGTTTCTGGAATAATTAAGCGGCATTGCTGTCACTAATCCTGTTAATCATTCTTCACAGTTACCCTGTTCCTGCTTTATGTTAGAGAATCTTAATAAAAGGCTAAAAAAAAAAATGCAATTGAGGCTGTAGCCCCCACATCTCATAACTTTGTCTCTCTTGTTTCTCTTTTTTCTTTTCTTTTTTTTCCCTGTATTTTAGGGTAGGGTTTACAGGGTGTTCAGGGTCTCACTACTAGATCAGACTCATAGTGATCTGCCTGTTTATAGCCTCCATGCCCAGTCTCAATTGCCATCTCAGCGCCCCCCGGGGGCGGGGCCAGCACAGCAGGCCCCAGGATCAAACCCTGGCCCCTGTGCCTGCTTCCAGGCACTTTAATCCACTGAGCTATTTGGCAGGCCCTCTTGTTTTTCTTTTCATCTGCCGCACCTCATTTTTGGGACCTGTCACCCCACAGAAACCAACACTGCCTAGTATTCTTTCCTGGATAGCGCAGACAACCACAGGAACTTCCCCTTCCCCTGTATTTCTCTCCAAATATCACTCACTCAGGCCATCCTGTCTTATACAACACCAGCCACCCTTCAAACCTTGTTTTTCATAACATTGTTGTTCCTCAAGATCATATTCTACATGTATAGGTTTTCTCTCTGGGCTGGGGAGATAGCTCCGCACTTTAAGCACCTGCCTGGGAAGTGTAAGCACCCAGGTTTGATCCCTGATACTGTATGCCTTGCTGGCCCCAGAACCACATGAGCTGTGTACAAAGATCCTGTACCAAATAAATAAACGATCTGCGTTGGTGGTATAGTGGTGAGCATAGTTGCCTTCCAAATAAATAAACGATTTATTTTTTAAATAAAAGGTTTTGTTCTTCCTTGCTAGAATATGAACTCCACAGAAGCAGAAATTAGCTGCCAGGCTCAGTGGAATAAGTGCCTCCCTGGAGAGCACAAGGGCCTGAGTTCAATCCCCAGTTCGGAGAAAAAAAAAAAAAGCAGAAATTATTTGCTGGGGTCCCTGGGAGTTGAACTCAGGACTTTTGCTCTGAGCTGTATTCCCATTTTTCTTTTATATTTTGAGACAGGAGCTCACTAAGTCACTATGTTACCCATGCTAGATCTGAACTTTGTCTTCCTGCCTCTGCCTCCCAGAGTGTGGGGGCTACAGGCATGCCCCAACAGACCTGTTTGAAGAGCAAGAATTGTGCCCCCCCATACTATATATGTGCCTGGTTTGTAAAAGATGGCCAGCACTTACAGGAATAATTACAAAAACAAAATCTAGCCATAACTAATAAGTGCCAACTAGAACTACAGCCCAGCTCTGCTAATGGAAATATGCAAAAGCTCCACTGCTGTGCCCCTTGGTTATTCCACAGCCTCCCTGCAAAGTCCTTATCGGGACTGCCTTGGTTAGCAGAAGATCTAGAGGTCAGGAAAGAGAAGTCGCTTGCTCCTTGGGTTGCACAATGAATCTGTAACAAGGATCAGCTGATGTCTGAGCTCTAGGCCTGGTGTCTGGTGCAGCCAGAAGCAACCCCACTGGAGGAGTTCAAGGAGTTCCCTGCAGACAGTGCGCCTGCCATGTAGGCGGACCGCATAGAACGCTGGGGCCAGCTGGTTTTCCAGCTGTTTCTTGTTTTTGAGTTGGCCCAGCTGCCCTGCCGGAATTATTTGGAAAATGGATGAAATGGCTTCTCATTGAGTTGCGGAATCGGGGATCAAATTTAGGGCCTCACACTTGCCAGGTAGGCGCCTGAACCATCTCCCCAGACCTCACTGAGGTTTTAGAATGATTCAGAAGAAACATGGAGCCTTCATACCCTACGCCTCAATGCCAGGCTTGAAAGGCCACATGCCTGCCTTACCCTAGCCCTTAGCCCAACTCTTGCCCTGGTTTGCACAGAGCCTGCCTCGCAGTCCCGTTTTGTAGCATCAAGGGGAAAAGGCAGGTCGAGCCGAGTTGCGCCGTGGACCCCTCATCAGAGCAAGAAGAACGTATCCTCTGTCTTCATGAGATGGGTGTGAAGCCCCCGGGTGGCCGGCCCCATCTGTCCCTCCTCCTCTACAGACTGTGCGGAAGGGGGCCCTGCTGACCCGCAAGGGGCGGGGCGGGGCGGGGCGGGGCGGGGCGGGGCGCCTGTACCAGATTCTGCGCCCACGGGACGCACTGGCAGGCCATGGAGGCTCGGGGCCAGTGCTACCAGTTTCGTGTCCTGCTGCTCGGGGACGCGGGAGTGGGCAAGACAGCGCTGCTGCAGCGCTATGTGGCGGGCGCGGGGCCCGGGGCGGAGGCCGAGGTCGAGACGGAGCCCACCGTGGGCGTCGAGTTCTACAGCCGCGCGCTGCAGCTGCCGGCTGGACCGTGCGTGAAGTTGCAGCTCTGGGACACCGCGGGCCAGGAGCGCTTCAGGTGCGGACGCTGGCGGGCGGGGAAGGGAGCGCGACTTCAGTGGTGCGTGAGGAGGGCCGAGGGTCCTGCCCCGGCTGTGGGTGAGGGAGACCCATCCTCCCTGGCCTCATCCTGCAAATACTGCTGCAGGGTGGCCAAGGCCCATAGCGAGCGCTCTGCCACCAACCCGAGCGTCCCCAGCTTCCCGCAGGCCCAGAGGAACTCAGGCAGGACAGGATTCTTTACCCTGTTCCTTGAGGAAGGAGTAGCCTGAGTGGTGGAAGGGCCTAGGGCAGGGAGTGGGATGAGTGAAAGGCTGTTCCAGGGCCTTCCTGTGACTCACACTTGCTTCCTGAGGGCTTCTAGGACAGACACCAGCGGAGGTGGAGGATGGGGGCAGAGGGAAAGGGCCAGACGTAATAGGGTGTGGGGTAGCCTGAGTGTTGGGAGAGGCCAGGGCAGAGAATGGGAAGAGTGAGAGGATGGCCCCTGTGGGGGAAGGGGAAGCTCTGTGGGGGTGGCGAGAAGGCCTAGGCCTCCCCAACTCACCCTTCCTTGCAGGTGCATAACCAGGTCTTTCTACCGGAACGTGGCCGGCGTCCTGCTGGTCTATGATGTGACGAACAGGAGGTCCTTTGAACACATCCAAGACTGGCATGCAGAGGTCCTAGCTACTCAGGGCCCCAAAGTGATCTTCCTGCTGGTCGGCCACAAGAGTGACCTGCAGAGTAGCCGCTGCGTCTCCCCGCAGGAGGCAGAAGCACTGGCTGCCTCCCTGGGCTCGGCCTTCATAGAAACCTCAGCCAGAAACAGCTGCAGTGTGGAGCTGGCCTTTGACACCCTCACGGATGCCATCCTTCAGGCCCTGCAGCGGGGGGACATGGAGCTGGAAGAGGACTGGGGGGGTGTCCGGCTCATCCACAAGGCCCAGGTGCCCAGATCCCCCGTCAAGGAGCCTCAGCACCCAGGCCCATGCCAGTGTTGATCTGGGAGAGAGTTCTAATCTCACACACTCAGTGGGACAGGAACAACTGTACTGGGGGGGAGGGGCAAATGACAGGTCAGTAGTATCTTCACTTGGTCCTGCCTCCTGGATTTGGAGGTCTCACTCCTTTCCTTGCTGGGGAAAGGGCTAAGAGGCGAGGTATATATTCCCCGTCCTTGAGCCTTGGTTTCATTTGTCAATGGAACTCATGAAAGATCCCACTGCTCGGGGAGGTTGTTGTCCTCACCTTCCTGCACTTATGAGTGAGATAAAGGGCAGAGCGGGCTCACTCAGAGCCTGCCACACTGAGAACTGAACAAGAACTGGTCCCGCATTCCTTTCTGGCGGTGACGCTGCTGTTTCTGGCAGCATCCAGCGCCCAGGGCTGAGCTATTTGGCATCTGGACAGCTGTCCTGGGGAGGACCATGTGGGGGTTTTCCAGTGTGAGCTTGGCTTGGAGGCTCCCTCTTTTTTTGGAAACAGGGTCTTGCTATGCAGTTCAGGCTGGCTTTGAACTCACTGTGTAGACCAGGCTCAAACTCTAGGTGATCCTCCTGTGTCAGCCTCCTGAGTGCTGGGATTACAGGTGTGCGCCACTAACCTGGCACACACTTAGAGCCCTTTTTGGTCTTCAGACGAATATGAGTCTGGGCATGGGATCGAGTGTAGTATCAAACTCAGTGTTCTGCCCACTGTTCCCACACCAAGGCAAGGGCTGAATCTGGTCTTTTTTTTTTTTTTTGGTGGAACCAGGGTTTTGAACTCAGGTCCTTGTGCTTGCCAGGCAAGCGCTTATTCTACCGAGCCATTTCCCTGGCCCCTGAATCTGTTTTTGTTGTTGTTTTTGTTTTGTATTTTAGGGAAGGGGGGTCTAGAAGGTGTTTAGGGTACTGGATCAGACTCATAGTAGTGATTCACCTGTTTACAGTCTCCCAAGATCTGGGATTACAGGCGCTGCTCCACCACGCCCAGTCTCAAGTGCCTTCTCAGTGCGCCCTGGGGGTGGGGCAGGCACAGCAGCTCTGGGGATTGAACCCCTGGCCCCTGGCCCCTGCCCCTGCTTGCAGGCACTTTTAATCTGCTGAGCTCTTTGGCTAGCCTCCAGGGCTGAATCTGTATCCCAGAGACAGGGGTGAGTCAGGTTGGGCACAGGGGACATAAGAAGACCCTGGTGGGATGCACCTGGCTCAGCTGCTAGGTGCTCTCCCTGGGGGACTTTAGCCTGTAAAGCTCCTAGACTGCCTTCCCCTGGGACAACCCACATCCATCTTCCATCTGTGCAGGTGTTGAGGGTCCCTTCGCCCCAACTCTGGGTCAAAGCCAGCTTCCTCTCCTTGGGTTTCACTGAGGACATCACTGGGACAACCTCATGGCCAAATCTTTCCTCTGCCAATCCTGCTTCCTTCCCACCTAGGCATGACTCAAGAATGTCCCCTAATAAATGTCTGCCTGCTGGGGCACCCAGCCTGCCACAGGAACTGCCAGGCAAGAGTGGTATATTTTCATCCCTTCACCAGTTTTGTCTTGTTTTCATGATAATCCCTTGTTTAAGTCTCTGGGGATACAAGCAGATACCAGGACAGACTTCCAGTTGAAGAGGAAAGAAACACAAGAAATGAACCAACCACATGATTTCCAGCTGTGCTCAGGTCTGTGTCAGGCACAGACTGGGGACACAAGGCTGATGGGGTGGGATCTGAGGTGAGCTTGGAGCTACACCCTGGAAAGAAAGCTGAGCTTGGAGCAGGGATCTGTGGCAGTGACCACAGGCAGCTCAGTCCTCACGACAGGCCGTGCTGTTATCCATGTTACAGGACTCAGGGGCTTGAAGTTACAGTGGGAAGAGCCAGAGTGCAGTGTTTTCCCTGTCTGTGGCCCCTGGGAACTCTGTATGGGAAGACAGGTTGTTGCTGGCCAGAGGGCTGTCAGGAGAAAGAGGAAGAACTGACTCCCTTTGCAAGGCAGGGGCCCAGGCAATCTGCGGGGGTGGGGGGGCAGTGTCACATCTTTCTAAATACAAAGTGTCAATCATAGTTTCAGTCCCACGGGGTTGTGACACTAGTGAAGGAAGTGAATTCTGACCATACTTCGACACTTCTGTTGCCAGTGGCTGATTTTTTTGGAGCGGAGGGAACCAGGGATTGAACTCAGGCCCTTGCGCTTGCCAGGGAAGCGCTTATTCTATTGAACCATCTCCCTGGCCCACTGGTGGCTGATTAACCCTGCAGCAAGCCTACCCACGCTGGGAACTGAATCCC